AACTAGGAAAAAATATTCCAAAGGAGTTAATATACCATTATTAGTGTTTTAGATTTTTATATCTCTCCCCCTTTGTCTTCATTTGTAAGTACAAGATGGAAAAGACTGTTCAAAGTCACCCAGCCATAGGGCTGGGGGCAGTGACTCATGCCTATAATCCCAACATTCTGGGAGGGCCAAGGCAGGTGGATCGCCTGAGCTCACAAGTTAGAGACCAGCCTGAGCTAGAGTGAGACCCGGTCTCTAAAACTAGCCAGGTGTGGTGGCAGGAGCCTGTAGTCCCAGCTACTCGAGAGACTAATGCAGGAAGATCACTTGAGCTCAGGAATTTGAGGTGGCTATGAGCTGGGCTAATGCCAAGGCACTCTAACCTGGGTGACAGAATGGGACTCTGTCTCCCAAAAAATAATATTAATAAAGGAAACATGCATGACAAGACAGCCATGCTGATTCAGCCAGAAGGCTCCAGCAAACCTGCCTGACTCCTTCAGACACCAGGCTCCAATAAAAAACACCCCCCTCACAGCTAAAAGCACACCGCAGGCCATGTATGTGAGGTACCCCCTGGAGAACACTCCCTAGCAAAGTCTCATCCTTATTCTGGGAGACTGATTCCAAAGATGGCCCCCATTTTCCCCCTTCTATCCACGCCTCTTGTCAGGTGACTCTGCAGCTCCTCCCAGTGAGGTGAAGGGTCTATTTCCCTACCCCTTGAATCTGGGCTTAGCCTTGTGACTTGATTTAGCAAAAGTGACACTGAACCTCTGCCAAGGTCAAGCCTCAAGAGAACTTAACTCTCATGGAACCCTGCCCTGGCCCCGCCATAGCCCAGGCCAGCCTGCTGAGGGACAACAGACCACGGGAAGTAGATCTAGTCATTCGCAGCTGACCCCAGGCTGAGTACTGACGAAGCACCCAATCTAGCCTCCTTCAGCTGAGCTGGGCCTCCCTTAGCAAAGTGTTCTCAGTTATACACACCCACGAGGTTTCACACTTGTTACACAGCATTATTGTGGCCACTGGTAACTGATACGCTCTCCAACGCTGCGAGGCTCCAGGCAGCAGCCCCACCATGGTGAGTAGAAGACCAGGGGACAGACATCTATCACCTGCCTGCCACCAACCAAGATTTTTCCAAACCCACTTCAGTTGACTCCTACCCCAGCATCTTGGGCTTCTGGTCCCAGTCTGCTCAATTCACCCTTCTCACCTCCTTTCCCACAGTTCAGAAGTTAGAGCTGCAACTAAAACAGCAACACACATTCCCAGTCAGCAAGGCCAATCTGTGCCCTGTGTCAGCTGGCCCTCAGCAAAGGAGGAGAGGTGGGAGGCCAGAATTTACTTCCTGTAGTAACTAGCAAGGACCAGAGAATTCACTCTCTCTACACATCAGCTCCTTGCATGGCACAAACAAGCAATGAATACCTGGCCCTAAGAAGACAGAGGGCTGGGTATGAATTCTAATAACTTGATCCTCATTTTAGGGAAAGGTGATTCTGGAGTTTATAAAGATTTGTGTAGCATTCAAACAAAAACAAAAATCTTTTTCTCTAGTCCGAGATAAAGTCCTCATCACAGCTATAAATATGTCTATAAAACTTAAATGTAAGCACCACAAAAATAAAGGGAGACACCCCACACTGGGCGTGGGTGTGGTGTGGGCTTTCCTGAACTAACTAAACAAACAGGTGAAATTAGGAAATTTTCAGCAAGAGGCCATGTAATTTAAACATGCAGAAGTAAAATTCCATCACGGAGCAGCACAGTTTTTAAAAATTAGCATATTTAGGCCTAATCTCATTCAAAAGCTGTCTAGCATTCGAACCACCCTTCTGAAACAAAACTGCACAAACACCTCCTTTGTTTTCACTGCTTTCTCAAGAGCTGCCAAGGCTGTAAAGGTGAACCTCAGGTGATAGTTAGTGGAGAAGAATTAGGAAAATGAATTATGGCAGCTTTCACTGTTTCCAAGTCAGAGGGAACAAAACTTCCATAAATCCAAAAGACAGCAAGAGCACACTTGGAATGTCACTGGAGAATTATTTGACAAATATTTACATGTTGCATATTAAATCACAAAGTTCTCTGAGAGCAATAAATATTTGAGAAGGAAAATGGTGTGCTGAACCATATGTGGTATTTTTTCACTCTCCAGAGGCAGAAAAAAACGTTTTCTTAAACAAAACACATCTGATCCTGAGTTACCCAAATTAAATGAAATGCCTCCCACCTCTGTAGGAGATCCCTTCTTAACTGACCAGAAACATACCCCCCAAAAGCTGGAAAGCCTTTAGAGACATTTTCCTCCTAGAAAGCAGGCTATGGGTGACACCTGTGAGCTGTCATTGTGTCATTAAAGTAATTAGCCCTTCTTTAAGTTTTATTCTGTCACTAATCAAGATAAGCTTGCAAATCACACTGAGAAAGGCTCCTGCCCCAGGGCCTTTGCACTTGCTATTCTCCTTCCCCACTTCACCTGCTCTCTCAAATGGCTGTCCTATTTATAGTCCTTAATGCCTGAACACCGAGGTTGCCCTTGCCCAGTTCCTGGTGCTGCTGGCTTAGACCGGGGGAGGAAGAAAGGACTCCTAGAGAAGGTGCCTTTTAAACAGGAACCTGCAGCCAGTGAGGGAGCGAGCCATGTTAGCATGGGGGAGGCACACCGCACCCCAGAGAAGGACACTAGCATGCTCACAATCCCACTTTGTTCCCCAGCTTCCTATTTCAGCTACTTTTTCTAAGTTCTTCTCTTCACTATTAAGACTCTCAAAGACAGAGACTGCTAGATTCATCTTCAAGTTTCCTAAAGTACCTAACCAGAGCACAGTAGGTCTGCAGTAAACACCTACATGATGATACACTCCATTTGCCACAGTACAGTGCATCTGGGCTTTGCCTCGTGTTATTCTTTCGGCTGTCTGGGAATATGGAGAAGTGAATGGGAAGAATGGAGGCTCCCAAAGCACAGACCACAGACCAGCTCCCTCTGATCTGAAGACAGAAGAGCCCAGGGTTCTTGCCATTCATAGGCCATGTGCCAGGCTCCATCAGTATTTGACCCAAAGCAGAGAAACAAGTCTCCATCTCTACTGGAATCAGAAAAGTAGAGAGACAAAAGCCTGCCTGGCAGAAGAAAGAAAACAAACAAAACTGGAAGGTACTCTCTTCCAGTCCGGGGGAGGCAGGAGGGCCAGCAACAGGACAAGACAGTGTGTGCGTGGCCTTCACGCTCACACTGTAAGAGTTCTTGAGAAAGCAGTGAAAACAAAGGAAGTGTTTGTGCAGTTTTAATTGTTGCAGAAGGGTGGTTCGAATGCCATATCCCTGAGACACAGACTCTCGTTACTCCTATTTTACAGAAGAGCAAATTGAGGCAGCGAGATGGGGGGGGCTGCAGCTAGCCTCCCATGCCAAGGCCTGCCAGAGCCGGCTCCACCCACAGGTGACCACCGGCGCCCAAGCCCTGGGGACCAACCCCACCAATGCCTTTCTGAGCTTTAAAGCTGGCCCAAAAACTGCCTTAGGAAGAAGAGGTTTCCGAACCAAACCTCTGGGCCGAAGACTTGACATTCAGTTAAAATGAAAAGAGTTGACAAACAGCCACAGGAGGGGCTCCCAGCTCTATTCTTGCCAGCTGGGGCACCTGCCACCTAAGCTGGGGCACAGGCACCAGCACTGCCATTGGGTGCAGCCACAAAAACTGGCGGACTCCACCTGATATTGCCCAAGGGACCCCACATTAGGTCTCATTGCCCTCCACAGTTCAAGTGCAGACCCTGCCTCCAAGTTCAAATCCAGTGTCAAGTTAGTACAAGCAGAAAGTGACACTTGCCAGCTTGCCCACATGCCTAAGCCCAGGCCAGACCACAGTCAGGGGCAAACCAGTCTGCCCCTGCCCAAGATAAACCAAAAGCACAGGGTCGCCAGGGTTCCCAAGTAAAAGCACATTACTTTCTGTCCACTGCAGACTCCAGAGCAAAAAGAGCACTGGTGTTCCTGATTGTGCTAGGCTGCGGAGGCAGATACCATGGGACCTTGGGGAATATAAAAATCAGATTGAGAACACAGCCATTCCTACACCAAGCACAGACTAATGGGGACTTTGCCACCATTGTCACTCTGCAGTTTTTCCCACAAAGTGCTTAGTGGACTGTGTTCCACAAACCATTCTCCAGTCTTCTCAAGGCAACTTTTTCTTTCTTTTTCCAAACGTCTCTTGCTTTCTCTGAGTACACCATTAATGCACAATCAGCGCCTCCCTCCCCTCCCACCGGGGCTACCCGGGCTTGCTGGTCGCCGCCAGGCTGCCCGCCCAGGCCCTGCCTCACCCCTGGCTGGCACTGGCTCAGAGCAGTGACCGTTCAGACTCACAAGTGAGAGGTCCTGGGGCTGGTGGCCACGCAGGTCCCAAGGCTCAGCAGGGTTTGGGGTTAATTGGGGGATGGGGACCAAGCAGTCCCGGCGAGGGAGAGAACAGTCGCTTCTAAATCCACAGGGCCCGGAGGAGCCACGCAGTTAGGGGAAGGGCAGCGCAAGCGGGCCGAGGGGACAACTGGGGCGCTGCGCAGGAGAGGTTGTCCCCTGCAAGCGAAGCGAAGTGGTCGACTGCCAAGGGCCTGAGAAAAGGTAATGGTCAAAGGGAGGAGGGCAAGTTGAAGAGACCCTGCAAAAGGAGTCAACGCTGGGTTCCAGCACCAGCTTTCGGGGATAATTCAGGGCCAGGAGGACCCTGGGGGCGGTAAACCAAAGGGGACGCGGACTGGAGGCGTCTCTCGCCCGCGCTGCTACCTGGGGCAGAGCAAACTGCGCTCCTCCACCCCCAGCCCGAGACAGGCAGGCCACCCAGGGCTCCGCACACCCAGCTCCCAAACAGCGAAGAAAGGCGGCAAAGTGACGGAGAGACCAGTCCAGAGCCGGGATATTGGTGGCCTGAGTATGTGGGAGAGGGCGGGCAAAGTGGGTGCAGATAGGAACCAAACTCTGCGGGGACGCCTGCTTACCCGGCCATTGCGATCGGTCTCCTGCACCTCCTCGACGCTCGGCCCGCGCTGGACCAGCGCCCGCAGCAGCCCCACGTCGTTGGCGCAGGCGGCGCGCAGGAGGGTCGCCGCCTCCGGGATGCCGGCCGGGACGTTCTCCGAGCTCTCGGCGCAGCGCTCCTCCTCGTCTCCGAAAGGATAGAAGGAGTCGTCCGAAGCGATGCTGCGAGTGTCTAGAAGACTCGAGAAGTCATCGTACTCCTCGTACTCAACGGCCTCCTCCTCGACCTGCGCACCCCGGGGTGGGGACGGCGGCTGCGGGCTCAGGCAGCCCGCCCCGCCGCCCTCCGGCCCGGGCCCGGCCAGCAGCACCATGCCGGCGGCCGGGACGCGGGCCGGGGGCCGGGGCGCGGGCCGGGAGACGAGGACCCGGGGCGCTCACCGGGGTCAGCGCTGCTCGCCCCCTAAGTCACCAGTATAGCAACGGCACGCGCGCCCCGGCACGGCGGAAACCAGCACCACGCGGCTGCGCTCAGCGAGAAAGTCGCTGGAGACAGCAGCAAAGCCCCTGGGGGGGTGGGCGGAGCCGCGGGGGTTTTCCGAGCGCGGCGCGGGCGGGGACCCGGCTCCGCGGTAAGGGGGGCGGGGCCGCTGCGCTGGGGGACCCGCCCGCTCCCGGGTTCCCCGCTGGGAGGCCTGTTCCTGTCAGGAGTTGAGAGCGAGGCGGGGGCCTCCGAGGACAGCGGGGACAGTACACCTGGAGTCTTTGTCCCAGAGCTGGGAGATTCACGGCCCCGCCCCGCTCTCTGCGAGCCCCGGGGAACGCGGGCGGAGGAGGGGTCCCGGGACGCCGCGAGCTGAGCAGGCTTCCAGCTACAGGAACGTAGACGCCCGCGAAACCCGCCCCCGCCCAGGGCGCCAGGACCCTGGGCCGCGGTGGGGCAGTTCCTCCCGCCGCTCTGGAAGCTCAGAGAGCGTCTTCCACCTCTCGGGGATCCTGGGCTGCGGAGCCGACTCCACCCGGCCACTGCTGGCTTAAGACAGGGGAATCCCCGGGGCGCACGGCCGCGGAGGCCTGGGGATGCGCGAAGAAGCCGTCCACTTAGGGGGCCTGGGGAGCGCAGCGGGCAGTGCACATCTGAACCCCATGGGGACTATCATGGGGGAGTCCCAACCCGAAGGGAAAGGGGTATCCTAGGAGTCCCTGGTCGCTTAGATCCCGGGTCAGCTGTGGTTTGCAGATTGGTCGGACTAGCAGACGTGGGGAGGTTTATGGAAACTTGGGTGGGGGTCGTCTGGGTGAGAAGGGACGACACCAAACTGGAGCTGTAAGCAGCTCCCCACCCCCACCCCTGGCCACTGTCACGTGCTGGCATCTGCAAAGTCTTGGCAGATTAACCTGGGAAGGTCATGACAGGGCCCTGCCCGGGTGGCTGGCTGCCAAAAAAAGAAAGGAGAGCAGGGCTACAGGCGTCTGTCCCAGTGCGGGGCGGGGGGAGGGTGTGAAAATTTGCCTTGGGAGCTTCTGACTTTGTGGAGGGAGACGCTTGGAGAACCAAATCTAGGGGGAGACTGTGCCCGAGGCGCGGTGGAGAGCGCGCGGAGCCTCTGTCGCCGTGCTGAGTCTCGGACCCGATGCGTTGTGGGTCAAGGATGCGAAGACCACCCCTCTCTCATTCCCTCCAGCCTCCTTCCCCTTCCTTCTTCCCACCGTGCAAAACAGTGTGTCCGGCCGGTGGGAGGCCCTCGTGGCCCAAAATGAACAAAACTGGGTGGATAGACGCAGCCATTTGGGGCAAGGACTACCTGAGGAGCGTGGCGGGGAACTGAATAAAAAGTACCGCTGTGGGTGGTGTGAGCTCGAACAAGGTTTGAACTTGGAACTTCCAGGTTTCTTAAGCCCCTGGACCCCTGACGTTACACTTCCCTGGGCCTGACCTGCTGTCGTGGTCACCTGGTCTTTCAGTGTCGCCAACAAGAGCTAGAATGGCATCCATGCCTGGTCCAGACCCACCCTTGACGGGACGGGTAGGTTGGGGGGACCCCAGCGCCCCAATTGCTGAAGAAGACACATCTGAGCACGCCCTGAGCTAGCAATGAATCTGGACTCCCTTCTGTACTCAGGGCTTTCCTTCTGAAATAAAAAATACCCCAAATCTTAATCTAGGTTCTACTTTTTTTTTTAACTGGCCACAGTTGCATAAATTCCCGCTTGAACTTTGCTTTTCAAAGCTGACACTTGTTTCCAAAAGATCTGTTGATGACATCAGGGTTAGTGCCTCCTGAGTGCGGGTGAGTTCTACTAATCCCGCTGTCCTGCCAGCCAGCACGGTGTCATTTGAAAGTAAGAACTCCAGCCCCCTGTGACCAGGTCCCAGCTCAACAGCACCAGAACCTCTGCAGGGGAAGAGGTTGCTGTGAGCCGTGACCACAGGACACTCTACCCAGGGTGACGTAATGAGACAGTCTCAAAAAAAAAAAAAATGCCTCTAAGAAGAATAAGAAATAAATAAAATACACCCCTTTTACCACAAAGACAATGATTCTCAACATTTCTGGAAGACAGGCTAAAAGAACGCCAAATGAGGGCAAAGGTATTTTTAGTAAAGCTGCCACTTATATATGGTGTATTATGTTTACCAAATCCACATAGGAAGGAGAAAGTAGCTTATCAAAACTGCCAATTCACTCAGTATAACTTTCAAATTAATAACAGACTTTGAGAAATGACATTTTATCTGACGAGTTTCAGTGACTTAATTTATGATTTTAAAAGATATATATAGAGAGAGAGCAATTACACAATTTATTCACTTAATTGAATAATTTGTCTTTGGACCATTAAAAGAAATCATTACTAGCTCAGGTATATTTCTGTAACAAGACCTTTCAAAATTACAAGCAGTACACTTATTTAATTTATTTTTTTATTAAGAGTGAGTTCCTATCTCTACTAAGAATAGAAAAACTAGCCATGTCAACCTTGGTCCATATGATGGACCAAGCCATCGACAATGCAATCACCAACCCTGGAGCTGAGGCTAGGTTGACACGGCTAGTTTTTCTATTCTTAGTAGAGATGGGAACTTGCTCTTGTTCAGGCTGTTCTCTGAACCCCTGAGCTCAGGCGATTCACCTGCCTCAGTCTCCCAGAGTGCTAGGATGACAGACATGAATCACCACACAGAGCCCAGTACTTTGTTTTGTTTTGTTTTGTTTTATTTTGTTTTAGGCAGAGTCTCACTATGTCGCCCTTGGTAGACTGCCATGGCGTCACAGCTCAAAGCAACCTCTAACTCTTGGGCTTTAGCAATTCTCTTGCTTCAGCCTCCCAAGTAGCTGGGACAACAGGCATCTGCCACAACACCTGGCTTTTTTTTTTTT